CAGGGGCTCAGCTGCTCGCGCTTCCCTCCAGCCAGTTCTGTTAAGAATTCCTAACCATTTTGCAACAGGCAGCCTCTGGTGTGTAGGAAAGAAGAAGTGCTTTCTATTATCGGAACTGTCACAAGCCTGCCTGGTTAATAATGCGACTTTTTGTTTAAATGAAGAGAGACACAGTTTGTTGACTTTTTATGTAGGAACTTGCTGCCTATGGTGGTGTGTTTACGCTGAATGCCTGCGGTGTGGTACTTAAACACATTATTATTAATCTGCATCTAGCCAAACCACAGTGGTTCACCTAAAATACCATTAAGGTTTTTGGTCACACTGTATAAGACTAATCATATTTTGATGCTAAGATTAGATTAAATGACAACAATGTGTTTAAAGTTGCTGAGTTTGAGGTCAGGAAAGAAAGCATTATTTTTATAAGACTGAGCAGCAAGACAGCAAGTAGCTAAACCGACACTTTTTTTATCAATAATTTTAAATTTGGTAACAGTTTTGTCTGTTTAACTTGGACGACCGATAAAAAAAATCTTTTAGGACCAAAGAGCTAGACCTGCATTGACATGCTAATAACTGCAGTGTCTTGAGTGGCCACTAGAGGCTGGTCCAGTCAGTCCCGATAGACTCCTAATGTCCACCTTAACAGCATTAAAAATGTATTTGTGCTGTTGGTACCTTTTGGAGCATTTTACTTGCATTATCTCACAAATAATATACCCTCATGTCCAGTATGAGGTATATCCATGAAGCTTTTGCTTTGGTCTTTTACTTCATTTTTCACCCCACCGTCTTGTCACAAGTCCTCAACCATTGGTCGACGTCCATGTTTTATATACTGTTGCTGCGTAGAGTCTCCGTCTTTAAAAAAAAGTATTTATTATTTAAAGAGTTTAATTTCTATTGTTTGCCCACTCAAGGTTTATAGGGATTTTAAGAAGTATTTAGTTAAATTACTTATTTACCAATTAAGTTACTTTTATGACACAGTAATTAGATAAGTATTTTAAATACAATATTGACTAAGTAATTAGTAATTAATTACTTTTTTAAAGTAACTTACCCAACACTGCTATAGCTACACAATAGTGACACACAACTTAACTGACCACCCAAACACTAAAAAAAAACTCAGTGATAAGTCTAACACAGGAAATGGGCACTGCAGTTTATTTATAAACAGCTTCAATGAATTTTAACAGTGATCACTTTCACACTTTGATGCTTTCACTATCCAGAAGCCATTTCCCACAGAATAACCGGTCGCGACAGATGGCCGCCCTCCCTGAGCCTAGTCTAAAAGGAGCTTTTTTTTCTCCCTGCTGTTGGAGTGTTTGCTCATAGCAGATCACTGGATCATTTGGTTTTTCTCTTTTTTGAACAAAGATACAAATCCGTGTATACATACAAAGCTCCAGCTTGCATGATGAGTCCAAACATGGGTGCTATTAAAGGGGTTTTAGACTATTGGTCAGATAGATATGTCTATAAATCTTTCACTAAGTGTTTGGGAGACTAACGCGAAGATTTAAATAATTACAGATATAGTTGAGGTCACCAGCTTCATCACAGTGTACAGATGAGATATTTATTCATTTTTGTTGTTGCTCTGCTCATCACAGATACATGATGCCATATGAAAATTATTCCTGTATTGCTTTTTAACATAAACACATTCAAGGATTTCTAACACCAACCTTTAAAATGTTTCGAGTACTCGTATTTCCATCATTCGGTTGGTGTTACATCATAAACTGAAGCTCCAGCAAATGTTTTTTATGACTCTCCAGCCTCTTACATCGATCCAGACAGGCATCGACCTCACACCATAAACACACAGACAGGGCTTTGCATTCACAGCTCTGCTCGTCTGCCTGGAGCAGTGACTGAATTGTCTCCAGAAAGCACCACCTGACTTCTTGAGGGGTGGTGTTGGAGTCTCTGTGTGTTTAAATAAAGTGTGTGAGCTCAGTAGGTGTCATAGGCTAAATGTAGGTGGGTTTCAGTAGGTGTGTGTGATCTGGTGTGCAGTGTTTGCATGCAAAGAGGTATGAGGTAACGGCACAACCTGAACTATACATGTAGAGCTTGTCTTGTGGTTGAAGACGTGCGTGCATTTTTTATGTGTGTGTGTGTGCACCTGTCACCTGTGAACAAACAGCCCGAGCTCTTCTCCTCATTAGGCGTCTTCAGCACCTCTGCAGAGACGTACATCTTCCCTGTGGAGCGCACACACTTACACGCAGTTTTATTCACTTATATACACACCCTCGTGTGCTCGCTCGCGCTCGTTTGTGTTTTCATGCTGACAGTTAAAAAGCCACTGCAGCATATTTTGCTCATCATCACTTACTTGTATGCATCCGTGTCTCGAGCATCTACAGCTTTGTGCCAAATCCCCCCCGCACACTTCTCGCTCTTAAGTTCATTCAGATCGGTCCAGTTGGTCCATTTTTCACACCGAGCTTCCATTAAGAAGTCGTATCCTACAGACAAACTCACCGACTGCAGCGCAGTGTGAAATAGATTTGCTTTCAGAGGCTGGTAAACAAGTGATTATTTTTACCCTCGGCTGCCATTTGTCCTTTTTTAATATCGTCTCCTCGTATTTGGAGATGAAAATTGCACGTGCATAAAGTCAATGGTTTATTTTTGTTGATGCAGGTTTTAGGGCAGCAACGATTTTGAGGATCAAATTTCAGGATTTAAAGATTAAGATATGATAATATAGTCTATTAAAAAGGTTTTTGCAGTGTTCACAGAGAGAAGGCACTAAAACCAACATTTGTGGCTCAAATAAGATACATTTGTTTTGTCACATTTAATACAAACATGTTCAAAATAATGGATTTCTTTCTGTATTCAGTGGGCATTGACATTTTATTGTGTTTTATGTTAGCAGTGTGGGGACATCTCATTGACATAATGCTTTCCCTAGCCGCTTACCCTAACCCTAATCATCAAAAATGAATGCCTAACCCTTACCCTAAACCTAACCATAACCTAATTGTAACTAAAACCGCATTTTGAGCCTCAAAAATGCCTTCAAACTTGTGGGGACCGGAATTTTGGTCCTCACGAGGCCTGTCGGTACCCACGAATAATAATAATGGATTGGATTTATATAGCACTTTTCAAGGCACCCAAAGCGCTTTACAATGCCACTATTCATTCACTCTCACATTCACACACTGGTGGAGGCAAGCTACGGTTGTAGCCACAGCTGCCCTGGGGCAGACTGACAGAAGCGAGGCTGCCATATCGCGCCATCGGCCCCTCTGGCCAACACCAGTAGGCAAGTAAGGTAAAGTGTCTTGCCCAAGGACACAACGACCAGGACAGAGAGCCCAGGGATCGAACCGGCGACCTTCCGGTTACAGATACGCTTCCCAACCCCCTGAGCCACGGTCGCCAGAATATAGTAAACTTCCAATTTTTGGTCCCCACAAAGATGTTAATACCCGTCCACATATACTCACACACACACACACACACACACACACACACACACACACACACACACACACACACACACACACACACACAGAGTCATTTCACTTATGAATGCGTTTCACAGATTTTACAGGCTTAACTTGAAGGTCAAAATATTACAGCCAGTGCTTTCCTGGAAAAACAAGTCAGGTGCTGCTATAGCTTACCTGGTTGAGCAGGTGACCCACATACACTGAGGCGGAGAGGCTGCAGGGGCCAGGGTTTGATTTTGCCTCAGACAGTTTCCTGCATGCGAGTCCCCCTTGTTCCCTCCCTTGTGTCTAATTCAATAAATGCTAAAAACAAAAGAGTGAACAGACAAGAAAATACAGCATATTCTTCAGAGGCAGAGTCAGGGTTTCATATCAGGGAGTGATGCGTTTCCTGCTGGATAGCAGGGTTAAGCTGGGCATACACTGTGTGATTTTTTCAGTCGCGTTAGCCAACTTCTGCTCAAACTGCACGATTGACTCGCGGGGGTTAGAAGTTCGTAGGTCACGATGCACGGTCTCACACTATACGGCCCGATGCTCTGATGCGACCTGAGTGCTCACACTGTGCGTCCATAAAATGAAGGTTATAACAGAAATTCTGTCGCTCGCTCTCCCTCTCGGTCTTTCACTCACACAGACACGCACACCACCACCATCAACTTTGCTAAATTGCTAATGAAAAACATTGATCAGGCAGCAGTGTAGATCCAGCTATTTTCACGGTTGTTGTGGTTGTGATGATTTTGTGAGGCCACATGGAAAAGGCTCGGATGAGCTTGCCATAGTTCTACAAGTTGTGCCTCCATTGCTTGTGTCCAGATCACACGCTGCACTGCCGTGCTACTCCGTCTTTTTCGCTGACATTTGTGTTTGCGCGTGCGCAGTGTGAGAAGCTGCGCTGACAGCCTCACGACGGTCGCGAGGGTTTGAAATCCCCTGCGACCAAGCGATTGATGATTGGGAGCTGGTCGTGAGGTGTTAATCGATTCTCGTTACCCCACGTATACTACACGATGCACGACGCACGATGAAGGCCAAAATCGGGCCGATCGCCAAAACGGTCGCACGACTCAAAAATGGGCCAAAAATCGCAGTGTAAGCCCAGCATTATGTATATACAGGATCACAGGTGCTTGCAGTACAAATGAAGTAGATGATTTAATGTCAGCATGGCCTGTTATGTATTTTTGCAACACATACATTTCAACTTTCTGTTTTGTCACACACAAACTAGAAGCATAAGTTGAATTCAAGAAGTTTCTTTTATGATGTGAAATGTACGAATGGGAGACATTAAGGGGGCACATAGAGGCTTTTTCCCCATGCAGCTCAGATGCTAATCACACTGAAGTTAATTGCCTTTATTCTGTTCACCACATGTGAATCAAACACTGATTACAGCAACAGGGTGCTGGCTTTTCAGTGCTGGGGTTGAGAACGAGTTGTTTATGTGGTTATCAAGTGGTTAGATCATTTCAAAACACTAAATCTTTTGTTTTTTTTCCCTTGCAGTGACAAACTTCAACAATGGCTTGGAGGCCAGCTCAGACTCCGATGACGAGGACAAGCTACACATTGTGGAGGAGGACAGCCTGCAGGAGCCTGAGGTTACAGATGCTGATGGAACCACATCGCTGGACAGCCATGACCATGACGCCACCGTAACAGTATTACCCCACAACGGGTCCTGGAATGGAGGTGAGGCACGAGCCATGAGGAATGTGTGTTTAGCACAGCAACAGGTGCTTTTCAGGGTGTTTTCACACCTGCAGTGTTTAGTTTCTTTGAATCAAACTCGGGTGCGGACCAAAACAACTGCATCGAGACCTTTTGGAGGATGTGGCGGAGGATGTAGGTGTAGCGGTTCTTTAATAATGTCAATGTGATCTGAACCAGCTACCACATGTACGTCGCAAGTTTAAGGTAAAAAACTTCCTGTAGTTTTGTATGCTTTGTTTTTTGCGATGCAGAAAGGTATTATATATCTGTACGGGCTAAAATAGCTCTAAGATTAATATAAGTTCTCCACCTTATTTCTGTTTACTTTTGTTGCTCTGACCCCAGACACATCTGGCCAGTGAGCGCACTGAACATTCTCACGTGGTTTGTAGTGACGCATTTTTGTTTGCTTAGAGTTTATTTGGGTTTTAGAAGCCAAATGATGGGGAAAAGCTGGAAAAAAGTTATAAACTGATTCGGACTAGAGTAAACAAACTATTAGTATGTAGGTGAGATTAAACACAGGTACCAGGTCCAAAGTGTTTCTAGGAGCCAATCTTGCCACTTAGCAGCCATCTTCAAAAACCTCTGATTAGATAATTTAGATAATACATTAAAAAACCTTTTATTTCATTGGTCACTGCATTTTTTTCAGTTCACTCTCTGATTGGCATTTCTTTCTCTCATAATTTCTCTGTTTATATTTATATATCTTAAGACTAGGCCTTTAAGACTGATCTTATTATCTTTTAATCTGGGACAGTTTCCTGGGCATGCTTGCGGTTTCTTAGCATCTCATCCAGGAGATGCTCGCTACACCCACGGGCTTATACAAGCTGTTTCCACACAGATGTGTAGCACTTCACGGGAAATACGTTAGACGTTTACTCAGCTGTATCTTGGTAAGAGTAGTTCATGGTGGTTTCAGTATAATTCTCTGTAATTCATGCAGCCTTTCTGCAGAATTGAATCAACAAATCTTGACCCCAAATGCCTTGAAGTCAATTATCACACTGGAGGGTAACAGCCAGTATTTTTCACAAAAATGTCCTTAGGGCTGGCATGTGTAATTTGTCCTTATTGCTGTTGTAAGTGAAGCTTAAAAGGTGCATTAATACAGCAACGGGTCCGCTCAGTACTCATATTTATGTAATCAAGTGTTGGCTTCTGTGTTTCAGGAGATACTGTATATTATACCCACCCAACTGTTAGCAAGTAAATCCAAATCCGAGCAGCAGTAGCGTTATGTTCACTGACTTTGTTGTGGATCATTGTGGAGAAGAACTGTACTAACTTAAGCACATACGTAGTGCTTTTATTGAATTAAGTGATCTGAAGGGGGCACACACATGAACCAAGCAACCTGCATGCGGTGCTGGTGGGAGTAAAATCTGGAGGCATGAGTCAGCTGAACACGATCACAGCTCAGTGTGGTGTGCCTTTTTCAGATCAGAAGACAAGTAAAGAGTAGTAAAGAGTAACCAGAAACCAAGAATTTATAGCAGCGAGAGAGAGGATGCAAATGAGGAAAGAGATATATAAATAAGGAGGGGAAGTAAGCTCGTCTGAGGAATAGACATGTTTCTGTAACGCCCTCATTAATCCTTAATCTAGCCGGCAGTCTTGCAGAGGTTTCTCTCTATAATCTCCAGTTCTCACATCCAGCAAACTTTAATAAATCCCATCTACTCCCTAACTGGCAAAGATTCCTTTTAATAATACAATGCTCTGCCTAAGGGCGGTTCTTTACATGCAGTTTATGCTGCATCTTCTGTGCTTGAACATTTTTGTCAGTGCCAGTAATACTTAAAGCAACATCTTATTCCTACATTTTTCTGTAACCTTACCTTACCTTCTGTAAGATTGACCCTTTGCGTTTTAACATTTTCACTTATTAACTTGTTACGTATAATACAGATAAGTGGTAACCATTTCCATATGCTGCTTTACACACGGCATGCCGCATAGTGTAAACACAGTAGATGCTCACATGTGATTTCAGCTGAGATTAAAGTGACGGCTGGTGAAGTGAGACTCAGAGGGAAACTCTAACCCAGTCGGAGATTTTCAGAATGTTTTGCTATGCTGATAAATGGTGTTGATTGCAAGTAGATCAATTGTAAATGGTAAATGGCCTGCATTTGTATAGCGCTTTACTCAGTCCTTAAGGACCCCAAAGCGCTTTACACTACATTCAGTCATCCACCCATTCACACACACATTCACACACTGGTGATGGCAAGCTACATTGTAGCCACAGCTGCCCTGGGGCGCACTGACAGAGGCGAGGCTGCCGGACGCCCTCTGACCACCACCAGTAGGCAAACATGGGGTAGTCTCTTGCCCAAGGATATTTGGCATGCAGCCAACCAATGTGGTAATAATATTAGGGATGAGTATTCAGATGTTTAATCAGTCATTTCTTGAAAAAAGTCTGCTGTATTTCAAGCTTTGCACATCAACTTGTTCTTTGCTTTAGCATCTAAAATGTGGAAAATACCTAAAAAAAACCCTACAAGGGTTTTTAGGTCTAACGGCCCATCTAGTGAGTTGTGAGAATTTCAGGTTAACTGTCCAAAATAATCTAGGGAGCTTGGAAAGAAAAGCAACTGGACTGGAGTGTGATGTGTGTTTGTATGGATCTTAATGTAATTAACTAACAGAAGTTCAAAGCAACAAGCAACTATATAAAATATAAACTTTACCGCTCTGTGCATTCAATCACAAGATTGCAATTTCCTGCAGCATTATTCTCTTGTGTTGTTTGGAACTGTGTTGGGTTTTTCTGTTTCTGTTTTTTATTTTCTTTATAGATCTGATAATGTCTCTGATTGGAGTTGGTGGCGCTCGGGGATATTTTTTTGCAGAAGGATCATATGACCTGTGAAATGCCCCGTTTTATGTGAGCACGCACAGAGCCTGAGGCAGAAAGTCCGGTTTAGAAAAGGACGTTAATAACCACCACCGTCATACCCATTATCTCCAACTGGGGTTTCAAGTTTTTTAATCCAGCAAAGGGTAAGAAAACCTGGTTGTGTTGAGCTTTGTTCATAGAATACCCCTCAGAACAGCAACTGAGCTCTAAAAAAGTGTTTTATGGAGCACAGGCACACCGGGACGAAGTGTTACTGATTGTTAAAAGCCACACATCGTCTCCAATTCCTACAAGAATAGCATCAGCGCAAACAAGGAGCTGTACTGGCACATTTTCAACCATTTTCTAGTAGTACTAACAAAGAAGATCCTTACTTACTAACCTTTGTGCCATCTCATTTTGACAGATGCAAAATAAATTCTGTCAGTGTGTATTTAAAGCTTTATTTAGCTTAAGCGATCAAATCTTGAAATCTGAGCAGATTCATGTATTTTTTGCTTGAAAACAGACTGTCTCCTTGGACTGCACCTTGAAATCAAATAGAAATGGTGCAAATATGCACCTGTAACTGCATGCAGAGACCTTAAATGTTACACCTTGCGGTTTCGTAATTAGCCTTGGAGAGATACATTCGGTTGCATTTTACCTTTACGGACATAGGTGGATTTTTATGGTGCCATTGTTTCTGATGGTATACAACCAACATGTACAAGCTAACCAATCAGCATGAGAGCCTGTGTTGCAGATCTGAATGCATTTGTCCTTCCTTTTTAAATCACAGAGCCTGTGTCCACTAGGTATCCATCACACAATCTGATCTGTTCCGATATTGAGGTTGTACTCCCAAGATTTTATTAGCACCATCTTGCAGTGTGACATGTAGAAAGACAGCCATATTGCTGATAGAGCCCAGTTGTATAAGACTGTTTGTCTGTACATCTCATCTCTCTCTTTGATCGGATTAGTTCATCCTCCTCCAAGCCTCGGGGAACGCCCGTTCGCCCGCCACAGCCAGATGTTCTGCTCTTTCTGTCTCGCACTTGTAGGTCAGCCTGTATGACACCACATCCTAAAGGCTAATCTAACTATGACACACACACACATCCACCAACACATCCACTCTCTCCTCCCTCTGAATCGAATTTCTCCCTCTCTATTCTTCTTTGATAAAACACAGAGACAAGCTTCATCATCATTCCTTGTCATCTTTCTCCTCTGACTGGTGTCTGACTGCTTATCTGTTCTCCAAACAATAAGTGGTCACTGACGGGTGACATGCCAGAAACATCTTGAATTTCTTTCTGGTGACAAAATGTACATTAAAATGTAAAAAAGAGCATTTTTTTTTAATATCCTCTCTTGTCATCACTGTGTGTCTATAAATTAGATAAACACTAGACATAGTGTAAGTGAAAGCCCCGCCCACTGGAGGGGAAAAAGTTGTTAACAGATATGCTGCAGAGTGCTAAAATACTAATAACATGTTTCAAGGTGGCTCAAAATATTAGTGATGTTCACATATTAGGCTACGTTCACACTGCAGGCGAAAGCGCATCAAATCCAACTTTTTTGACCCTATGCGACCCATACCCGATCATGGTATGACAGTTTGAACAGTACAAATCCGATATTTTCAAATATCACTTTGGTATGTGGTACTGAATCTGATACATATCTGATGTTTCAGAAAATGACTGCCGTTTGAATGGTCATGTCGCATTAAATCCGTCTTTTACGTCACTGACAGACTGCAATTATCAGCGCCGGAGAAGACATCGCGAACGCTTCCTGGTCATCCAGTGAAACTGTTGGGAAGACAATGTTGGAGAAACGTGAACATTTTATTTGTACTGTATAATCGGCAGATTCTGACAGAAATTTCCAACTATCCTTTGAAGCACTGCTCTTCTCTAAAACAGCAATAAAGGATCATTATTAGGCCATTTGTAAATAACAAAATAACTTTATAACTTAAAGCAAAATTGGGAAACGTAAAGTCCGAAACAAGTCTTTATATTAAGGCCATCAGTCAAACAATACTGTTTGGTCTGGGTCTAAACAGAGCGCGTTGTGTGTGACGTCTTCTTTTGCGCATGCGGGCGCA